TTGGGGTGAGGGGTGTGGGGTGAGGGGGAAACTCAGCCAGCATAGTCTTGACGCAGGTCCGTGACATTTAGAACACCGCTCTAGCCCATTTCACTCATTTGTAGGATACGCTTGACAAAGGTTATTTTCTTTATCCACCGATAAACAGTGGTTTTATCGTTTCATCGTGACTTGACAGTTCTAGCTTTGGCAAGATAAACATACAAGTGTTGAACGTCGAAAAAAGTATGTAACCGTTAAAGTAATTCAGCTATTTGTACATTTAATAACCTAGTTTGGAGCCAAACAAATATGGACCAATGTAGCTTCACGTACTGGTTTAGTTCTCTATCGAAATACATACATGAGAGCGCGGTGAAATCAGGCGCTCGTCAAATTACCGAAAGCAGAGAAATCGGCATTTTTCCGTAGCCTCCGAAATTTTTAAAACCAAATTTTTGTTTTTTTGGTTCAACACCTTTTATATCTGTTGAAAAACACATTTCTGTGATGATTTCAATTAAAAACGTTGATAAAAGTTTTAAAAAAATGTAGATTATTTGTTTCAAGGTCTCTCAAATAATGTAAGACACCTGACTTTGGCTGCCATTTTCTTGCTACTTTTACCTCTGAAATCAGGCCACCCCCTCCCCCTTCAGTTGAAAATATCTCGACTTCTGTTCAAGATAGATGGGTATTTTTTTAAACCACAAGCAAGACAAATGAACAAACTTTTAAAAGGTACCTATAACTCAATACAGTATACCCAAAAAATTGACGAGCGCCTGATTCCACCACGTCGTAACATAATTATATTATATGAATGGCAGTCTTGAGCTTGCGCAATAATTTTTCAAGCATGAAACATGAGCTTGGAAAAAGCAACATTGATAGGCATAAGGGAAATATACACACGCCGATGAAAAGTTATATTTTCTAATATTCTATTAATGCAGCACCGGGAATGTTGTAGTCGTTGCTTCAGCTTATGTTACTGGTCTCTCTGATGACGTCTCAAGGAGTTGTCATGACTTTTTAAATAGTTTAAAATCGCATTCTTTTCTTCGTTCATACCTTTCGAAATGACATGTTACAGAAGAACTTTACGAATATTAATGTGACAGAAAATAAATAATGAAGAAACACTAAGACGAACAGGTATAGAAACCCAACAATTCTCCTTAACTTAATGAAACCGAAACTGAACTACTTAACGCATATCAAACGTTATGATTCTCTTGAGAAGCATATCATATTATTCTGAAAGCTAGGTAAAGGGCAAACAAGGAAGGAGGAGACCTAACGGAAGATGGAAACTGGACATGGAAATTTGGCCTGGAACCAAAACAACCCAGGCAAGCAAAAAATAACTTCTAGGCAGTTACAAAACTATTTTTTTTTTAAACCTTTATAAGTTTATTGTAACCGTCCTCTACCTTTTAATCAATAACTTACTTTGGTTTAAACTATAGGTTACAGCAAACACTTCGGCATGTATTCAAACATACTGTCAGCATAGAGGCACATATACTATGGTAATATGGAATGGCCCTTTACGCTGACTAAGTATTCGTACAATAAAATGACCCACCGCACCACACTATGTATCAACGAACGCATAGTACAACTTTAAACATATTATGTTTGAAAGAAGACATACATAGAATTTTCTATACATGGCAGTAAATTCTTTTTTTTGTTGGAAGTAAAGTGCTGGCTTATTTTTGAATAACCAGTATTGCCAAAGGAGAAAGTAAGATAGACGGTTGTATCGATTTTTCCCCCGTCGTTCTTTCACGTTACTGGGGACTTCAATAAACAGGTGTAATAAATTTTGCCTTGTCAGAGGAGCATCCGAGGTTTCCTTACATAAGGGTTTTCAGGCGAATTCAGTAAGAATATATACGGGGGGAAGAGAGAGAGAGAGAGAGAGAGAGGGGGGGGAGGGGGGGGGGGGGTTAATGAAAAATAAATATCGGGAACAATAATTAATTAATTACTGTATTGCATTATTTCAAAACAGCATACAGTAAGATAATCGCCTTCAGGTAATTGGGGTAATCAATTCTTCTTTCGGAGACATTTCTTTTTTAAATTTTATTTCTTTTCAAACTGACATTCAAGATGGCAACATTTCCAATATGATTTTAATGACCGGTCAACATATTATGACATGATCGGTCATCCTCCCTCTTTTGGGTGAGTCACCTCGCCAAAGTACAACAACATCCAGGGTGAGCAAGGAGACTGCGGTCGGACCATCACTGGAGCCTGAGATGGTATCAGAACTTTGTGAATGAAGAGCTCAGCCCACGTTGTCGAAGATGCGGCCATGAAAAGAAGGATGTCAAACGTATGTTCGAATGTTCAGGAACAATTGCAATTCGAATGGAGTTATTTGGACGAGTGGAGGTGCCTCTAAGCATATTGACAATGGAGCCGAAAAAGAGCCTTGCTCTCGCTCGAAATTTTCTTCGTGGAGTCCGCCAGGCCCATTAAGGAAACAAACAAAAAATCATCATCATCATCATCATCATCATCATCATCATCATCATCATCATCATCATCATCATCATCATCATCATCATCATCATCATTATATCATCCGCTCTAAAGACAAATGAACTTGAAATGTAAGGTCCATATACGACAGCAGCTTTGGACTTGAAAGGGATGAGGTTTATTCAACCTCTGGGTCAGTTCCCCTTCAGCTCGTTGCTCTGTTTGGGGCGTAGATCAAGGTTTCTATTTAACAGCTGACTTGTAGGGTGTCTATTGTCAGGCGTTAAAATGTGCATGCAAATAAATAAGTTTGGCCCGATTTAACCCACTGGCTTCATTCAGAA